GAGCAGCTTTCCAAGCTTTCCCTTGCATCCTTGCCCCTTCGGCCCATCCCTGGCAACTCGCTGGCCAGCCTCGTTGGGTACCCTTGGGGCGTCGCTTGTGGCCCAGGCGCCAGTTCGACAAGGATGGTGGTGCGTTGGGGTACCCTTGCCTCCTTCCGTATTCGGCTGCGCCCCGCTCCAGAAGCGTCGGCATGGCTTTCCAGGGCGCTTGCATCAACCGGGCACGCCCATCTCCAGGAGGAGTGTTCAAGAACAGTACGAGATAGTCAGGTGACGATTTGTCGTACTCTCTTTTGGCCATTGTGATTCTTGTTTGACTGTGTTTCGTTTTTCCTCCAGCATCCGCCTGCAAGAGGACGTGCCCAGCCTGATGTTGCAGTGGAGGCCCATGCCAAGAAACACCCTGCTTGCCTCCAGGGTGCCCTGGGTTTCTTGGGTCTCGATGGTTTTTGCTATGGGGAGCGTGACGGTCCCACACCAAAAACCCATGGACGCCCTGGGGTCTCAGGGTTGGGCTTCTCGTGGAGGATTGCTGGTGGTATGGCCATTCGTGTACGTCTCGAATGATCCGTTGATCGACGGAGCACTTCTGCACCTTCTCTGCAGATTCGACTGGACCATCGATCCTGGGGCACACCACTTCTGCAGTCGATCCCCCACTCGCGGGGAGGGCGGCGGCCCCGCCCGTTTTCCCCGAGGGTCTGACGGCGTCTCGCCTCTCGGCCTGTGGGGGCGAGGCCAGATGATCGGGTTTGGACAGAACCCCCACACTGACACGTCGATTAGTGAATTGTCCGTTTTCGGTTCTCGAGAGGGCGCCGCGGTCATCATTTTCCAGGCTAGTGCCCGCCAGGTTCGGGCCCGAGGTCGTTTTCACTAAACCACGTTTTGCTAAAGGGGGTTCTGTCCACCCCCGAGATGAGCTCAGGCAGATGCAGATTTGTGAGTCGAGGCGCGGTTCACCCGCACGATGGGGATGAGCATCAAGGGGCCGAACAACGACATAGGCAGAAAAAACAACTCGGAGGTTCGCGCGGATTTCTCGGATCGGCGCTGGAGCCCCCTCCATGGCGCGCGGAGCGCGGCAGGGGCGGCGCCGGGGGCGCCGCCGAGGGGCCCCAGCGCCGATCCGTGATTTCCGCTCGGACCTCCGAGTTGTTATGTTTATGCCATTGCTTGTCCCCCTAGAACAACTTTCCAATCTTACCCTTGCAGCAGCTTTCGGTGGACGTCCTGGGGTCTCAGGGCCGGGTGGCGCGAGGAGGGTTTCTCGTGGTCGGGCCCCTGCTGGAAGCCATTCGCGCCAGTCGCGGGCCACCCGCGGGGGCGCGAGAAGATGCTCGCGTTCCCTGCGCCGCGAGGGGTTGGGAGGGAGGGATGGGAGGGAGGGAGGGATGGGAGGGAGGGAGGGATGGGAGGGAGGACGGAGGACGGAGGAGGGAAGGGGGAGGACGGAAGGGGGAGGAGGGAAGAGGGAGGAGAAGGAAGGAGGAGGAGACGAGAAGAAGAGGGAGGGGGGGAGGAGGGAGGAGGGACGAGGAGGATGAGGATTGAGGAGGAGGAGGAGGACGAGAGGAAGGAGGGAGATGGAATAGGGAGGATGGAAGAAGAGAAGGGAGGAGGAGGAGGAGGTAGAGGAGGAGGAGGAGTAGGAGGAGAGGAGGAGGAGGAGGAGAGAGGAAGAGGAGGAGGAGGAGGAGGAGGAGGAGGAGGAGGAGGGAGGAGGACGAGAAGGAGGAGATGCTGGAGCGGCTGTCCTCCTGCAAATAGGGGGCAGCGCGAGGCGCGCGAGGGCGCGGAGGTGACCGCGTACCGCGGGGCGCGGTCGGCGAAGCCAGGGGCACCCTAGGAGTATGGGCGAGCAAAAAAGCACAGAAGCAGTCTCGTCGGTCGTTACAACAAGTCATCGTTGTCCTATGCATTGTTTTGCCGATCGGCGCGGGCCCTCGCCACCCCCCCCCCTCCCCCCCCCCATGCAGTAGATCTTAGCTGCTGTTGGTGCCTGTTTCGAGAAGGTGGAGCCTCCCCTCATAGGACGCACTGTCGCAAACAATCAGTCGCACGAAGCAGAGGTCCAGAGCCAGACCCCCCCTCTTCGCTCCATGTCGAAACGCAGAGGAAGAAAACGACCACCAAGCATTTTTCTGCACGCCCGAGTCCCGATGTACTACTATAACGCCCCTCTCTGCCTCAAGAGTGGAGTGGTCTTCCCTCTGCTCTTCCCTCGCCCCCGCCTATGCCAGTCCCCCCCTATCGTTGCCCCTGAGCAGGGCGCTGCGTACGTACACCCTTCGTGCGCTCGTTCCCTATCGTTCCCCCTTCGTTGTCCCTATCGTTGTCCCTATCGTTCCCCCTTCGTTCCCCCTTCGCGTGCACCTATCGTTGTCCCTATCGTTCCCCCTTCGTACGCTTCCGGGCAACCGAGCGACGCAGACAAAACGGGGGCCGTCTGCGCCGACCTTCGCGCGCAGGCTGCCCGCGCAGGGTCGCCCCGCGGGCGCCCGCGCCTCCAGCGTAGCGTCCCTATCGTTGTCCCTATCGTTCCCCCTTCGTTCCCCCTTCGCGTGCACCTATCGTTGTCCCTATCGTTCCCCCTTCGTACGCTTCCGGGCAACCGAGCGACGCAGACGAGCGACGCAGAACAAACGGGGCCCGTCTGCGCCGGACCCTTCCGCGCGTCCAGGCTGCCCGCATGGTCGCCCGGGGCGCCCGGCACTTCCAGCGTAGCGGCCGCCCCGGCCGGCCCGCGCGAGCCACCGCGGAATGGAGGAGAGGAGGAGAGGAGGAAGGAGAGGAGGAGGAGTTAGGAGGAGGAGGAGGAGGAGGAGGGGAGGAGGAGGAGGAGGAGAGAGAGAGGAGGAGAGAGAAGGAGGAGGAGGAGGAGAGGAGGAGGGAGGGGGAAGGGGAAGTAAGGAAGGAAAGGAGGAGGAGAGGGAGGAGGAGGGGAGGAGGAGATGAGGAGGAGGAGGAGGGAGGAGGCGGGAGGAGAGAGAGGAGGAGAGAGGAGAGAGAGAGAGGAAGGAGAGGAGAGAGGATGAGGAGAGAGAGGAGGAGGAGGAAGGAGGTGGAGGCTGAGAGGAGAGGAGGGAGGAGGAGGAGGAGGAGGAGGAGACAGGCGAATGAAGACTGGCATAAACATAAAAACTAGGAGGTCCGCGTGGATTTCTCGGATCCGCGCTGGGCTCCCCTGGCGGCGTTTCCGGCGCCGCCCCTGGCGCGCTCCGCGCGCCCCAGGGTGGGGGGCCCCAGCGCCGATGCGAGAAGTCCGCGCGGACTTTTGAGTTTTTATGTTCATGTCGTCCTCAGTTCCCCTGGCAAGGTCGCTGTGGCATCTCGCGTAAGACCCCTTTCCGTTTCGCTGCCTGTCCTTCATTATTCTTTTTGCTAGGGGTTTTGCACGCTTTCTCGCTCGCGTGCCCTCCGTCGTCCTTCTCGTCGTTCGCCCCTCCCTCTCCTTTGCCTCCGCCTCCAGTCCTCGCCTGTCGTGCGTCCCTCTCTGCCTTCGTGCGTGTGTCCTCCAGCGTCTGACGTTTCAGTGCCTTCCCGGAGGACACAGGCAACCTCTCCGAAGGCGCCAGGGCTTCGGAGAAGTCCCGCCGCTTCCTGAGAAGGCCGTCTCCCTCTCCCTTCCCCCCCACCCTCCCTCGCTCGCTGCCGAGCGTCGCCGACGGCACCCCGCGCCCGACGCCCGCCCCCTTCGTCCGCCCCCTCGTGCCGGCTTGCTCCGCGCTGCCCCCGCCGCCCCCCCCTCCCCCCCCCCTGCTCTCCGCGCCTGCTCCCTGCGTGCCTCCTCCCTCCTCCCCCTCGTCCTCCTGCTCCCTCCCGCCGCTCCTCCTCCGCCTCCCCCTCCTCCGCAGCGCGGCGCTCAGCTGGACAGACTCCAGGGACTCTCAGAGGCCTTCCCTCCCTCCACCCCCCCCCCCCAAAGCTCCGGGACTCTCAGGGCCTCCCTCTCCTCCCCCCCCCCCCCCTCAACGCGGGTCACTCCTCCTCGCTGCACCGTGCCGTGGCCGGGCGGCGCGAGCGCGGCGGGCACGGGCCCGCTGGCTCCCCCCGGCCCGGGTCGGGGGGCTGCGGCTGGCCGGCCGCAGGGGTCGGGTGCTGCCAGAAGTGCCCCTCGCCCTCGCCCTCCTCCTCCCCCTCCTCCTCCCCCTCCCCCTCCTCTCCTCCTCCTCCTCCTCTCCCCCTCCTCTCCTCCTCATCCTCCTCCTCCTCCTCCTCCTCCTCCTCCTCGCTGGCTCGGGGTACCTTGGGCCAGCTGGCCCAAGGTACCCCCAGGATTCTCGGGGTGGCCCCCGCGGCCTCCAGGGCACCCCCTCACGAGGCCCAGACGACCCCAGAGGCTCCCAAACGGGGCGAAAAGGCGGGGGCACCTTGGGCCCGGGGGCACTTCCAGCGACACCCGAGAGGAGGCCCCGAAGGAGGTCCTGACCGCCAGTTTCGCTCCACCTTTGGCTTCAGCTCTGGCCTATCATCTCCAGCTCCAGCTCCAGCCCAAGCTCCAGCTCAGAGAGACGATCATCGGGTTGGGAGGATGGGGCAGGGAGAATGGATCATATCGTTTACATTGTCGCGCATGTTGAAGGTACTTCTTAGACTGGCATGTGCACGGGCATTGGCCGTCACATCCTCCAGCCCTCCTGCAGCTTGAATTGCCTGCCGATTGCGCTGGTACCTCTGCTTGAACTTGGGTTGGTTCTTCGCTTTCATACCGCTGGAAACGACGTTCCCGCTCATCGCATTCACGCGTCTCTCCTTCATCGTCAGCTGTTCCTCCTGAAGAACCCCGGCTCTGCGCCTCACTGGCTGGGCCTCTATAATTTGGAATTTTCCTCTGGGGCCCGATCGGCATCGATGCTGCACCGCCGGTGCCAACGACTCATGCAGAAGTCATGGTGCAACCCATGCAGAACGGGAGCGGACCAACGCAGTACTGATTCCGTATCGCGATCGAGAAGAAATGCGCAATTCATCACTACCTGCGTATCAGGAACGGAGCGCGATACGGAACTGGCTGCGGTCCCGCGACCTCCCAAAATTTGTATGAGCGCGATCCGTAGCCATTTTGGCTCAAGCGCAGCTCGAGCTGGCCCCCCCCATGGTGCATACTGGCGCGCGCCCGGGGCGCCAGCTCGAACTCCAATGGCGGCGGTCAGCGGCGGTGAGCTGCTGCTGCCCAAGGTGCGGCATGACGATCGCGCTCCTGGGTCTCCACTAACGCAGGACATCGCACGCCATAAGTGCAGCGCAGGAGAGATGCCCTTCTACAGTGCGGTTTTCAACCTCACAAACACAATCATAGGCACCGGCACGCTGACCATGCCTTTCATCTTTGCGCAGGTCGGCTGGCTGGCTGGTAATGTAATTTCTGTTGTTGTCATGCTCTTCACACTATTCTCAGCGTACCTGCTTGTCGTTGCGAGTGACAATGTCGGTGGCGACGGTGCTCGCAGCTTTGAGTCGCTCGGCTACCTCTGTTGTGGTGCTCTTGGCTCTGTGTACGCCGAATGCACTTTCATATTTGGGGGTCTCGGCACTTGCACTGGCTACATGATCTTCATCGGCCAGCTGATAGCCCAGGTCACTGGTCTCGGGGTCGGCCAGGCTTACATTCCGATTATGCTAGCCATGTTGTTCATTGTTGTTCCGTTGGCTTGGCCACGGAATATTCATGCCCTCCGCTACACATCTGTCTTAGCTATCGTGGCGATATTGTACGTGGTCGTCATGTACGCCTACCTCTGGGCGACAATCGGGCGGTACAACTACCCCTCCCACAGGGATGTTTACAAGGAGCCCCACGAGATCACCGTGTCGCTGCTTTCAGTCAATTCTTTGAACTTGCTGATTGGTGCTTACTGCGTGCAGAACACTTGCCTCCCAATATACGGTGAGCTGCGGTGCAGATCGCCCAAGAGGATGATTGGTGCCACCGCTTGCGCGATGTTGGTGTCGTTTGCAGTTTACGAGGTGATCGGGCTCAGTGGCTATTTCCTGTTCGGTGGTGGGGTGCCAAGCAACTCGCTGCTCAGCCTGGACGAAGACTTCGTCATCGCGCACCCGTGGACCAAGTGGGCCCGAGGCGTCGCAAAGGTTTTGATGTCCTGCTCGATCGCGCTGTCCGTGCCTCTGGCCATTTGGCCATGCAGATCGGCCATCTGCTCCGTGATTATGCGCGCCCGCGTGGGCTGCCTTGGCCCCGCGCTCGGGTCCGAGCTTGCATCGGACGGCCTGTTCCACGGAGTTACATTGGTCTTCCTGGCCATCGTCACTCTGCTCGCCCTCCTGATCCCTGACGTCACGATACCCTTGGGTCTGGTTAACTCCTTGGCTGGAGGCAGCATGATATTTGTGATGCCGGGCCTGTTCTATCTCGGTTCCCTGGAGAAGCATCGTCGGTTTTCTTGGTCCAGCTTCCACGCTTTCGCCATGATCGCTGCTGGCCTGGCCGTGTGTGTTTTGGGTTTTGGCCTGCAGTTGAAGAGCATCCTGCATCAGTTCGGCACTGACGGAGCTGGCACGAATGCATCCTGATCTCTTCAATCGTATTGTTTGCGCCAGCCGCGCTGCTCGTTTGCGGCATGTCAGTTGCTGGCAGCCGCGCCGAGCTGGCGCGTGCAGTCGTTCGCCCTCTAGTGAGTCGGGCTGTACCTGTGGCAACCTTCGAGAAGGCCAGGCCGCGGAGTGCGGAACACCTCCCAGTCCCACCTCCCATGCTTCTTCCTCCTACTCCTGACCTCCAGCTCGGCTGTCCAGCGGCTGTTTCAAGCAGCTGTCGACAAGTGGGTGTAGTGGACGTCCTGGAGGGCAGAGCGGGTGGGGGGGGGAAAAAGTAGGAGCACGAGGAACGAATCAGATGTGAATTCCGCATCAATGACAAACCGATCGCAATACGGAACCCGATGTGGAATCCAGTATTCACTGGGGAATTGCCAGAAGCCTCAGGCATTGCTCATGCCCTTGGTCCACCTCCAGTGTTCGCCGCGTCGCTTCAACACCTGGGGTGGTCCACGGTGGCTCTGAGAGGGCCCAGAGCACACGCAAGAGGTCTCTTGGACGGCCCCACCGAAAGCCTCGGCAGGGCTCCAAGAGGGCCCCGAGAGGGCCACGAGGCAGGCTGCAGGGTGCAACCTGCGTCTTGGGAAGTTTCCAGGGGTCCAAGATGACCCCGAGGGGACCACGAAGTAGCTTGCGCGGTCCGCGGTGTTGGATTGGCGGCCCATGCGCTCTGGTGACAACACGTTTCCCTTTCGCTAGACGCAGGCGGCCGAAGGTATCGTTCATTGCATCCACATGTTTTTGCTCATACCCTGCATTCTCCCAACCCCTTTCTCCCAACACGAGAGTGGTCATCCTCACCGGCCCCACCCCCAGTTCCAGCTCCAGCCCCAGGTCCAGCCGGGCTTGCGCCCCCTGCTCCAGCTTTACCCTTAGATCACGCTTCAGCCTCCGGCCCCAGCCCCACCTCTAGCTCTAGCCTCGCTCCAGCCTCAGCTCCATCCCCAGCTCCAGCTCCAGCATCGCTCCAGCTCCAGCCGTAGCTCCAGCCTCGCTGCATAGCCAGCTCTAGCTGCAACTCTAGCCCAAACCCCAGCTCCAGGTTCACTCCAGCAGGACTCCAGCCCCAGCTCCACGTCCAGGTCCACGTTCAAGCTCCAGCCGAGCCCTCCCGTACATGGACATTATATTCGAACCCTGTGGCCCAAGATGCCCCCCCGAACCCCCGAATGTAATATTGATGGCGTGGCGACGGGGGGGGGCGTGAGTGGACAGAAATATTCGAAAGAGCGTGTTCTACCGCTGCTGGTGGAAAACCGGAGGGGGTCACTACGGTTCGAACCCCTCCCCCCCCCTCCGGAAAACCGGGGGGGTCACTACCGGTTCGAACCCCTCCCCACCCCCCCCAGTTCATCATGAAAAGGGGGGGGTCACTACCGGTTCGAACCCCCCCCCCCCCCTCGAAAACCGAGTGGGGGACAGTGGTGGGGACGGTGTTGGTGGGGACAGTGGTGAGGGGGAACAGCGGGACAGTGGTGGGGACAGTGGGGGGACAGTGGGACAGTGGTGGGGACGGTAGTGGTGGGGACAGTGGTGGGGACAATGGTGGGAACAGGGGGGACAGTGGACAGTGGTGGGAACGGTGGTGGTGGGGACAGTGGTGTGGGGACAGTGGGAATGAGGTGGAAACACTGGGACAGTGGAGGGTACAATGGTGGTGGAGACACTGGTAAAGGCGGTGGCGAGGACGGCGGTGGGACAATGGGACAGAGGTACAGTGGGGACAGTGGTGGGGACAGTGGGGACAGTGGTGGAAACAGTGGGACAGCTCAGTGGGACAGCGGAGGAGTCAGTGGGACAGTGGGGACAGTGGGGATAGGCAGCGGTTGGGTCCGTGGAGACAGTGGGGAGAGTGGAACCGTGGTGGGAACAGTTGTGGGAACAGTGGGGACAGTGCGACAGTGGTGGGGGCATTGGTGGGGACAATAGGGACGGTGGTGGAACCAGTGGGGACAGTGGTGGTGAGGACAGTGGTGCTGGGAACAACAGTGGGGAATGTGATGCGAGCGGTGGTAGGGACTGGGAGTCGTTTGCTGGCGGTGCGTGGGAGGGGGGTCGAACCGGTAGTGATCCCCCTCCGGTTTTCGAGGGGGGGGGGGTCCAACCGGTAGTGACCCCCCCCGGTTTTCCGGATCCGGAGGGGGGGGGGGGAGGGGTTCGAACCGGTAGTGACCCCCCCCCGGTTTTCGAGGGGGAGAGGGGGGGGGTTAGGGGAGGGGGGGGGGCCGCTGGACACCCAAAGGGCCCTCAGAAATCTAAAGAAAAATTAAGGTTATGTTTCTGAGGGCGCGCAAAAGGAAAGATAAGGGGCAATCCCCTTAGAATCGAGTGGAAATCTAAGTGCAGAAGCTATTGGCGCTATGTGCAATGCACATAGTGTGTTTGGTAGATTTTTGGTAGATTTTTGTGTCTACCAAAAATCTACCAAAAATCTACCAACGCGTTTGGGCCCCACCCATAAGGCCCTAACCTTAGGGTTCCACCCATATGATCCCAACCACAAGGTTCCGCCCATGAGGCCTTGCCCATAGGACCCCGCCCATGGGGTACCACCTAAGCGGTCGCACACACGATATGAACTCACAAACATGGCGCTCCAGGCGTGGGGCGCGCGGTGTTTCTACCCCTTGCCATTGCCTCTCGCAGAGGCCCCTCGGAAACGACCCTTCGGAAGAGCGGTTGCAACCCGTGTGCATACATACATCTATACATATATACACACATATATATACACACATATATACAAGTGGCACGTGTGTGCCCAGGCTCATACAACAAGCTGAAGGGGCGTTTGAAGCAGGAGTGACATGCAACAGCGAAGTCGCACTCGAGCGCAAGTGGGGTTGCCACACCTTGCGACGTGTGTACCAGGGCCCCCCAGGAAGCCTCAGGAGGCCCGACTTGGATACCAGAAGAGGCTCCAGGAAGCCCCAGGATTGTGAATGTTGTGTATGTGTGTGTGTGTGTGCGTGTGTGATGTGTGCTTTGTGTGGTGCGTGCTTTTTGTGTGTTGTCGGTGGTGTGTGTGTATGTTATGTTTGTCTAGCGTGTGATGTGTTGGGCGTGATTTGTGTCTCTGTGTGTGCATGTAGTTCTGAAGCCCCAGGAGGCCCCAGGAGGCCCCAGGAGGCCCCAGGCGGCCTCAGCAGGCCCAGGAGAACTCCAGGAGGCTCCGATGCGGGGTCTGGGGTACCAGAAGGTCCAGAAAGCCCCAGGAGGCCCCAGGAGGTTCCAGGAGGCCCCCAGGAGGCTCCGAGGAGGGGTCTGGGGCTCGATTTTGGAAGGATGTCTCAGGCGAAACCGCCATTCTCTGAGAATCGGGGTCAAAATTATTGAAATTACCATGTGTTTTTGAAGGTTTTATGTTAACATGTTGAAATTCCAATGTGTTTTTGGACCCTGACGTCACGATCTGCGTGAGGGGTGCCACCGATTTTCAGAATTTCGAGGATGTCCCGAGCGAAACGGCCAGAAAAATCAAAGACGGACGCACGCACGGACGCACTAATCCCCTCTGAGCTCTACTCCCTCGGAGAGGTGCGTATGAGAATATATATATATATATATATATATATATATATATATATGTGTGTAGGTGATCTCTCCGTAGTGGCGAACTGATCTAGATGCACAGGGATTACGTGTGCGCGATTCGGTCTCTTTCCAATATCCACCCTCTGTCATCCTCTCTCTCTCTCTCTCTCTTGCTCTCGCTTGACAGCAGTGAAGTTTCAACAATCCCACGCGTCACATCCTATAGCTAGCTCTTTTTGGTTCCAGGCAGCCATGGCTGCTGCAGGGAGGAGGCCGCGTGCCCTTGCCAACCCAAACGTCACCGATCAAGATTTCATTGAGTGTATATCTGAATTCTAGACGCTACGCGTATCCCCACCAGCCCCTCTTGGGATATCTCTTGGGATATCTCTTGGGCGTTTCTTGGAGGCATCTTGGGACGTCTGGGGGGTCTCTTGGCGGTCCTGGGGGGCTCTTGGGCGTCTTGAGTGCGTCGGGGGGGGGCCTCTTGGGGACATCTTGGCGCCTCTTGGGGCCTCCTGGGCGCCTCTTGGGGGCGATCGATCAAAGAAAGGATGTTCCTTAGTTAGCACCGCCCCTCGGGAGCCCCCCAAATAGCCTCCTGGACCCATCTTGGGGACCTTTTGTAGCGCCTTGGGCGCTCTTGGGGCCGTATTGGGGCCATCTTGGGCCCCTCTTGGGGCCATTTTGGGCCCTCTTGATGCCATCTTGGGCCTCGGAAGGCCATCGGAAGCGACAAGGAGAGAAGGCAACCATCATTGGTTTCCCTTAGGGTTTTCAAGGATGTTATCATCTTGAAGCACTCCTTGGGGAGCTATTTAGCCTCTTGGAGCCGTCTTGGGGCGATCTTGGGGCCTCTTGGGGCATCTGCAGAGCCATCATGATGGCCCATCTTGAGCCATCTTGGAGGTCATCTAGGGATTTCCCAGGCGCTCTTGGAGCAGTCTTGGGCCATCTTGGACGCCCCAGCGCATCGCCGCGCCCCCCGTCCAGGGAGTAGGGGGAGGGGTAAACCCCTACCCGAAGGGGAAGAAGGAGGGGTGGAAGAGGAAACTCCCTAAACCACCTACGCCCAGAGGGCTTGTGGGATTGACACAAGGAGTTTCGATTCATCATGTCCTCGGTCCGAAGCTTGCGAATGGCATGCATCAGGTTACTCCAAACATGGTCGCCCGGTTGTGCCCGCTGCTTGAGAGTCTCTTCAAGAAAGGCGTGAGAAACGGAGTGGTTTATCCTAACAAGTTAGAAGTTTGTCTGAAATCAAGTTGCAGCTCCAGCCTCCCGATGGAGATCAATGGGCCTGTGTATTTCCACCAGGTGACAGAACATGTGCGACGCTGTCTTGCAGTTCTTCGGGAGATGAAGCGTGAATCGTGCAGCCAGGGCCCACAGAATGGTGAACGGTCAAAGGTCGGAGGGTTCAGACGTGCTTGCGGCTCGTCAGATACCATCATCATCAAAGGCCTGCTAGATAAGATGGAGTTAGATAGCTCATCGACGCCCGATATTCAATCGCCGCTGCCTTCGCCGCTGCCTTCGCCACGCAGCGATCGTGACCACGCGGAGATCGATATCCCCAAGCTCGACCTGCCCCAGGACACGGACTTAGACGCCGACGGCTACCCGAAGATTTCCACGAATGCCACCGCGATCCTGGCGCAGATGCAGCTCAGCATCCGTTCAAGTGGCAGTGCGGCGTCGATCCCGAGCACCGCGGTGCACGGCGAGGACGGCTT